CTCTGGTTCATTTTTAGTCTTGGTTTAAACAATCTACAGCAGCTGCCAGAAACAGATCAGACTCCCACACTTTATCACATGTTCAAAAACATTGTGCAAAAATAACTCATTTTAAAAGAGATACCTGTTATTTCACAACTTATAATATGGTGTCTTTGCAGACCATTTGTTGGGTCTTTGTTTTGCTAGTGTTCACACTGACTTTGCCAATCAGCAGAATTCCATAGTCATAGACTGAGCCATTTTGATGAGGTGCCTCATGATATGAAACAATTCCTGTTGTGACAAGGAAGAATTATCAAGCAACATTCAGTGGCTTCTTGCATGATGCATGTTTCTGCTATGTTGTAATGATAGAAGATGTGGAATATTTCAAGCTTTATTCTGAGTTTCCGTGAGATCAAAAGGCAGTAAAGAGATGCATGTGGCAAGGGGAATAGTATAATAACAGGGGTAATGTGCATTTTGTGAGTCAATGGGCAAAATCTTTCCAGCCCCTGGATGACGTGGGCATTGGCAAGTCATTTGGAAAAGAAGAGTGAGATCAACAGAAATTAGATTCTTGACGTTAAGAGTTAAAATGAGATTACACGACTGAGTTTTAAACAGTGAGATGAGAATCTTGCTTATGAATAGTGAGAGAACTATTTGCATCCATTTGCACACATTAGCATGCAATTATTACCTAATCCCACCTCATTGATATGCAGTTTCCCATTCTCCCACCCACCAGATAGAAACTAGATGGTACAATGCCAGACATGAAAGTCTGAGGGGATTCCTGGCAACTCCAACTCATTGCCTGCTCCTGCAGGCCTCCATCTCGGGCAGCAGTCATCAACATCTCAGTGACTGCCCCATAAACACCAACCTTGAAGGTTGGCATCAGATGTGTATCAACCTTTCTGCATCCTCATGGCACACTCCTGACTCGCTTACAATTTAGTTCAGCACATCAGGTCTGCAATTTGGAGTGCACCAGCATCTTTCATTGTAATGCTGCTGCCATGATACTCTATGTGCAGGGACAGGCTCATGGATTGGACCAGGGTACATCTCAGTGTTGCTCACTTGCTCTCTTAGCACTCACTCACTTTGCATCTGCTTAGATGTTCACAGCATCTGTGCCTTGCCTTTTTGTGCTTTGCCCCCTCAGCCAGAGCTGGAGGACTCACAGTACCTCTGCCTTGCCTAGCTGCTTACCACAGGCATAAAGCCAGGCAGTTTATCATGGTTGTCAGCAGTGATCAGTCAAGGGGGCACACATTTTGCTCTACAGCACTGTGAAAAGTCAATCTCACACCTGCACCATATGCCAGCAATTTATGCAGCAAACACACTGCATGTGCTTAAGCCAAATGGCCATGTCTCTCGGTCTAAGAAGAGTAGTCTGAAGTCAAGAAAAGGGAGACAGCTTTCAGAGAGGTGGTCCCAGCATAGTAAGCCAAGAACGGAGACTGATATCAGTCCACAGCTCACCTGTGACCATGGCGAATATTATCAATCTATGATGACCATTGACATGGTGAGGATTACATCTGACCAGGATTTGTATCCACGCATTTCACTTACAGGGTGCTTTGATTACAAATAAATTCATCCTGTACTGTGAAAGTATCTGATTAATGCAATTGATCCTTGAAGGGCCTCACATAGCTCACAAAGTACAGTCCAAACATTCAGACAGTAAAAGAAACACTTTTGCTGCCCACTCCAGCTTTGGTAGCAGCCATTTTACATTTCCAGTTTGCACTGAGATGTACCCTGGTTCCATTAATCTGTGGAACTCATTGACACAGAGGGCTGTGGAGATCAAGTCATTGTGTATTTAAGGCAGAGATAGACGGATTCTTCACACACACACACACACAGAGGAAGGGTCACCGGACCCGAAACGTTAACTCTGTTTTTTCCTTCACAGATGCTGCCGGACCTGCTGGGCTTTTCCAGCAACTTTGTTTTTGTTCCTGATTTACAGCATCCGCAGTTCTTTCAGTTTTTTTTTATATAGACAGACTCTTGATTAGTAAGGGGACAAGGGTTACAGGGAGAAGGCAGGAAAATGGGGTTCAGAAACTTACCAGCCATGATTGAATGGTGAAGCAAAATCCATGGGGAAAATGGTCTAATTCTGTTCCTATATCTTATGGACCCCTGACTGATCTCTATGTAGTTCCCCAACTGACTTACTGCAACTCCCCAGACTAATTGCACTGAAGCTACAGGAATGACTATGGCCAACTCCCTAGATTGTAGTGATATGGACCCCCTAGATGCACTAAACCTACTTCACTGACCATGCCCAGACTGAGGATGTCCCAGGACACTGCTACAGAATTAGCCAACTGCTGGAGTGGGACCTGTGCCATGAAAGAATGGAAGGTCACCCTATCCTGACTGCCATCAAGGTGATGGCTACACTCAATTTTTGTGCTATGGTCATTTCCAATGATCCACTGGGACCTGTGTAGGATCATACAACCCTTGACCCACAAATGTATCAAGACTGTTACCAATACCATTTGTGTGAGATCACATTGCTTCATCATGTTTCCCTGTGACAGGGTCAGTGTTTCAGCCAGGTTATAGACTCTGCCAACAAAACTGACTTCCCCCAAGTGCAGGGGACTATGGACAGTGTACATGCTGTATTGATAGTTCCACGTCGTAACACAGTTGACTTCGTCAACAGAAAAGTCTTCCATTCCATCAATGTGCAAGTCACCTGTGATCACTGGTTTGACATCTCAGAAGACTGTGCCAGGTACTCTGGAAACTGCTATGCTGCCTATATCCAAGGAAATTCTAATGTTCCTGCTTCATTTCGAAGTGGAATATCTTACAAGGATGGTTACTGGAGGAATATGGCCTACCCACTGCAACCATAGCTGATTTGCAACTGCTGAAAAGGAAAGCAGACCCTGTCTGTTCCCAAAGGCTTTTGTTTCTTCACTTTTGCTGTTGCTGAATAAAAGTGAATATTTTCAACTGTTTGAAGACTTTCCACATGATAGTCTCATAATGAGAATAACAATGAGAAAATATTAGGCTACACTGGGTGTTGGGGAAAGTGTAACTTTCTATTCAACAGGGTTCTAAAATTGAATGATGCTAAGGACAGTAAACCTGTGGAGCTTGGTCTTTAAAGGACAATATATTTCTGAATGTGCACTTGTATTTGCAATTAAATGTCAGCCATGCAACCAATGTGCCCAGAGAAGCATTTGTTTTTGCTTCCCTTGCACTGCATGCACAATGAATGGCAGCTCCTGACTGCCAATGCTTTACCTGGTCCATAGCTGCATGTTAAAAATGGTACTGGTACCAGGAATCCCAGGAGGTCCCAGCAGTGGAGAGTACTTCTGCCTCTGGCAAGAGGGAAGACAAGAGAGAGAGGCATGGGTAATTAGAAAATGGTGTGAGAAATCTTGCACATGCTCACAGCGAGAAACCCTTCATGGAACTCACCATATTGACACTTAGCCAACTTCTTCTAATATTCAGCTCAATATTTCATAGACTTCTCCAGCCTAATAACGCAAGCTCCTTGAAATAATGGCAATGTAAACTTCTCAATAACTGATGTTACTATTACTTCATTTCCGGTGACTGTAGTGTTTCCAGTTTTACAAATTTCACATGTTAAAAATCAGATTGTTCTTTTTTAATGAACTTTGTTGCCTCATTAGGTTCTATTTGCTGTGCCCAAAGCATGTCTGATCCACTTACAGCGTTGTTAGTGAGGAAAAATT